TTTGGTAATATTTTCCCCGGGAAATTACGTCCAAATCGAATTGGAAATAGTCTCCCTGGGTTTTTGGCCACAATTTCCCGAAAATAAAATATTTTTCTTGGGGAAAATATGACCAAATTTTAAGAGGAATTATTTTCTTCAATATTTCGGTCATAAATTCTCCATTAGATTTGTATGGGGGAAATTGTAACCGGGGAAAATATGACCGGTCACCATGCCAATCGTGATTTAGATGATAAGGAATGCGAGTTTTTTATTCTAATTTCACCAGATGATACAGAAAATTGAGTAGTATTTGTAAATCGAAAATTTAATTATTTTTTTTTCATTTTTCTCGATTTTTCATCATCTATATGGGAGACTCGTATGAAAAACACGGAAGACCGCTGACATGACACTGTCGTACGTCCGTACATATTTTGTATTTGCACATAAGAAGTGAATTTTTTTTTCACAATTCTCATGCCACTAAATGCTCTATATCATCTGGTGCAATCAGAACATAAAAATTTGTTATCCCTGTCACCAAAATCGTGCTTGACAAGTTGTTGTCTCATGCTGTCTCGCTCATCCTTGCATGTATTTGTTCTGTATATGGCATTGTGTTTACAAGCGACATTCTATTCACATAAAACTCGCACTAAAATCTTGCTGCGCAATAAAAATTGTTGTCAATGGCCATCGCTTTGGGTTTTGTGTCGATGATTTTTATTGCGCAGCAAAATAAAAGTGAGAACTGCATGTGAACAGAATGTTGTTTGTAAACACAATAATACATACAAGGATGAGCGAGATGAAATCTCGACCATAAAATAACACATTGAGCATAAATTGAGTTTCTTCTCATTCTACGAACGTGTGGCCCATGTATTTTCTTATGGAAGCCTACCAACGATTCACTCAGTTGAGTTAAACTCAAACCAATTATTGTTATTTGAAAAATACGCATGAAATCCTAATATAAAAATGTTAAGCGTAAAAATCAAATGTATACAAATTGCGAGTGAAAATAAAATAAGTCGAGTTATTTTACTTTTATTCCGACTTCAAAGATATTTGGTTTTTACGCTAAGATTTTCTCCGTTTGTATTTTGAGCAAAATATATTTGCATTCGTGTTTCGCTCAAAGATCTCATACGTTTGTCTTTTATTCCGATTCTTTCATTTCAAATGTGTTTTTTTTCTCCTTTTCAGACTGAATATATAAGAAATAAATTTTATTTGCATATTGCCGCCTGCACTTGTAGTTTCATACAGTTAATTGCTTAATGTGAAACGTAGTTTTATACATTAAGCTATGGAATAGTAAGATATATATATATGTTTGTTCAGTGATTTTAGAGAAAACCAGAAAAGATAGAGAGTTCGAGTTTTCGGCATTCGATAGGGCATGAAAAACCCTCCAGACGTATTTTTTATTTTCCCCATAAGTGCTCCCCATTTAATTTTTTCATTCATGGACCCTCTTTTTTGGATTCCACTTTGAAAAATATTTCGATTCCACTCACCATTTATTGAGTGGATAACGAATGGATTCGGGTGGAATTATTTTTCTCCGCAACTTTATTGGGTGGATAAACGATGGAATAAATGAGTTTTACTTCAGTGTTAATTTGATTACTTTGGATCTAGATGAAACTTGTTGAAAAAAAGTTGGAGACACCCGAGGTACCAAATTGTTTTAGATTCCTTATAAAATTACCTTTCGAATGGTATATAAATTATGGAGTTTCCGGCAGGTTTGATGGCGTTTTACGCTGGCCGTTTGGCCGAAATATGAATTCGTGTGAGAAAAATCGGCTTCCGAATCTCATTGCAAGCAACCTAGTTCTATGATTTTGATGAAACTTTGCCAGATGATAGCTCTTGAAGCCCTCTTTCCAACGGTATATAGCTTATTAGCCAATCAAACTTGTGAATGTGTTTCCCAGGTGGCCGTTTGAGGCCAAATTAGTGAAAATATTGGCAAAATCAATTTTCGAGGTGCGTAATTTATTTTTAAAAAATTGTGGCAAAAAATTCAAAATATGAATGTCGAGTAGTTTGTTTTTCTTAGTAGTACGGTTCCACGTTTCACATTAAGCTCTACGGCCAAAAACTGGCAGTGTATTTTGTAAATGAATTGTTTAATTGTTGTATTACATACCGGAATACAATAAAATAAAATCATGCGGTTTACGCTTATTCATATTCGAAAGAATAGCGCAATGAATAAATAGAAGAAAAGACAAAATCATGATTCAAGCATATTCTTTTATTTATTCTTTCGTTGTAATTTTAAGCACACAAATACTTATCGCAACGTTAACTAAACAAAATATCCACTTTTGAGTGTAAAGATGAAGTTGCATTGAATGGAAAACACCAACAGCATGCACAAAGTTACGTATTTATAATATTTTTTGTATTGTTTATGTGTCTTGTTGAAAAAAGTTCAACGTTTCAAAATCGTTGATTGAATATTATACTAAATGATCGAGTTATTAGAGCAAGATTTAATCAAAGGCACATTTCCTAGATGCATGTACATCAAAATGAGAAAGAGTGGCACTTCAAAAAAAGTGGCACTTTCCCGCATCTCTGCGATGTCTATTACGTTGCGTCCGTCCTATTTTTGAATTTGGATATTTTATGGATTGTCCACTAAACGAACGGAGACCGAAAAACATGAAAATGTCCATTTATTTTAAACGCATTTTCTATTGTTTTGTAATATTTGTATCCGACCGTTTTTTTTTTTGTGGCTTTTATAAAACGAGTAAGTTTTAGATTTTTGCACTTCATTTCTGTTTGTAATCTATTCAGAAAGAGCACGATATGTGCAAGGGTAAATCTTATATAGATGTGGGAGTTAAAAAGGCAATGAACGCTGTACGCTGAGTGTTGGCATCTACTTTGTCTAATACAATGATGGTCAAACGAAATCAAAAATAACATATAACATCTACAAAAGATAGAAAACCAAAACCAAAAAAAAAACACACACACAACAAATGGCATTAATTTTCAGGTGTGAGTATTGTTGGTGCAAGGTTAGAAATGTATGCCTGTTTTCGGTTCTTTTGCTATTTGACTTACAAACTAGACAATTCCATGTGCGCATAAAACAACATCATCGAATTTTATTTTAATCAGCATTTTCCAACTGTATTTCCTGTTAGAAGTGTTTTTCTTCGGTTCGCAAAGAAAAAGAAGGTGCTCAATCTGAAATAAATCAAATTGCATCAAATGGCCTTTTGTTTCGTCATTCAGACAATAATTTGTTGTTTCTTCTCATTCTTTGGTCGAGTGGTTTCGCACATTCTGACCGTAAATTAATATTTTACATTGATCGCAATCGAAATAGGTTGCCGCATAACTCATAATCTTATTTGTTAGCTGATGGATGTCTTGTAAAAGTATGTCGAATCTGGAATATTGAATGAATCACACACACAATCAAACCATTAACATATTGTTTGTTTGTTTTTGCCAATGTCGCAAAAATCGACTACTGTATCCATTGTTTCCACGTTTTGCGATTAGTTGCGATCAATAAACATCAATAGTCCTAAATCGTCATTGATTTTCATCTATTGCTGTCTATTCATTTATCTGCAATCTTTTTGTTTCGGTTGCTTTTGTTATTTCTGCTTTATGAACAATATGCATTCACATAGTTTGAAAGGTTGTTTCCATGTTATTTATTCGAATTGATTTTATGACTTGCCATTTCAATTTATTTCTTTCCAAGTTATAAATTTGATTTGATATTGTGCGTATCAAGTCGAATTTATATGCACAATTGGTTATTGATAGCTTAAATAATCTTTGGCAAAACGATATGAAATGAGTTTTGCATAATTTAAAATGAATTCGATCGTTTATGCGCTTATAAATCTATCCATCGTGGTGTAAATGTAATGTGGAGTGGTCGTTTATTTTTATTTCGAAAAAGACCTTCGAGCTCATACGATTCACGAAAACGTGCATGAGGAGTAAGCACATCATTTGTACGATTCTTCCGTTCTTTTCTCCTTGTAAAAAATCTCGGCGCCCTGAAGAAGCAACGTGAACCTTTTGAATTTAACTCAATCTATTTCATTTTAATCCAAAATGTTATTGCTTGATTCGATTTCGGTATCAAAAAAAAACACGTTGCATTCTTTAACACCGATGATTATTGACTTAGCGATGATGGTGAACGCATCAGTCTCTTTGAAATTGAAAAAATGCAAAATTATTTTGACATTTAGTGAATATCAAGGTTTTTGTCTTTCAAAGACGTCACTTTGGTGTTTAATCGCTGGAATATACTATATATTTTTTCGTATTTTATACGATTTTATTATTTTCCTTACAGGCGCTTTGCTTTTATTTGACGTAAAATGAACTATGAGCACTCACCAATATGTGTGCCATTCTGGTTTTGTTACTTTCAATTTTGATATACTTGGCTTTTTTTCACTGAATAGAGATCATAAATTATAAATGTTGAAAGCCAATAAAACTTAAAAAAATCAACTTTATCGAATCTATCTCGAGTTAATCTTATATTTGCGTACATTGCTTTTCTTCTATTCTCTAAATGTCACTGATACGATTGAGTGCTTAAGCAAATTTGATGAATTACATTTTATATAACTATGATGACAACCATAGTTTCCCATGCTGTAGGTGCTTTCATCGATGTTGTTCTATATCTGCTTTGCATTTTTTTTTAAATTTTACATATTTCTACATACAAAGAATTTCATCTGTGAGAGGTAGGTGTGAAGTCAAATGTACCTTTAATGCATAATAAGTGCCAATATCATTGATAGCCATCACTGGCCTAGGCTACTTTGTATTCTGTACACAGACAAAATTCATTATAATTTCATTTTGAACATTATTTAATTATGATATTTTTGATCTTGAACGGCGTACAGTAATATATGAACCAAGCTATTTATCACAATGGTCAAAAGAGAGACGGCGAACGTCTGTGCGTATATGTATATGTGAAAATCAACACTTACCTCATACCATCGAAACCGTCGTCAGAGCCATTTATTGTTAATACTGGTGCGCGTGCATATGCTTTGGCCACTCTCCGATTACGTTCGAATACGATAACCTTGGCCCATATTTCATCATCGATTTGAGTCCATTTGTCTAAAACTTCTTGTATATGTTCCTAAATTAAAACAAAAATTCAATAAAATGTTATATGTTTCGTAATTTTTATGGAAATTTGCGGAAATTAAAATTATTATTTTTCAAATAATTTAATAAAGATCAATAAATGTGATTGGGAACGAAAATATTTAAACGACATTTATTTCATTATAATTTTTAGTGCGTTGTCCATTCACGTTTTGTACCATTATATTTATGTTCCGACATAGTAATTTTAATTGTTAACATTAAACTAAATAACTTACGTAAAGGTAACTGAATCACTTAAAAAGTTTATTTAATGTTATCATTGATCTTTGTTTCATGTCATATTGTGTTTTTTTCGAATGCAAGATTGAATCTCAATTACGCTTTGAACACAAAACACTTTCTTTGTTTTTATAGTTAAGCGATTTTAACTGATTCACTGCAATGGTGTCATATCAGTAGGAAAAGCAATTTTTTCAGCGTTTAAAATGAGACTTTTTTTGGTGTGTGTGGAGAGTGTATTTGGCGTGACATTTGAATTTCATGACCAAAAAACATACTTCTGAACCAATTTGCTATGGAAAAGTTTACATGTCTGAAGTTACAATAGTCTTATTTAGAAACCATTATGAACCTTTCTCAAAATATAAAAGCTTCCGGAAGCATATTAATCGTATGTAAACACATTCGTAGCTTTCTTTTGGACTATATGGATTAATTAATAAAGAAAAATTGTGAATTAAGAAAAAAAATTCAAATTCAAAATTAAAACAAAAGTTAATCCTATATCACTTTTTTCTACTGAAATTTCCTTCTTTTCTTTGAATTTTAAAGTTCCACTGCAAAAATAAGCAATTTCATCTATTTTATATGTGTCCGTAAGAATAAATATGGCAATACAAAAACGGAATCTGAAGAACATAGTACAACTCCATACAAAAAAAAATTATGTAACATTCTTCAGGTTCCGGTTTTGTCATGCGTTCAGAAAGACATACATTTATGCGAGCAATTGAATGATGCTTGCATCATTTGATGCGCATCGCTAGTGCTTTCGTTGTGCGTTCGGAGCACTTCGTGCGCTGCCGAAGATCCGAATGTACGGCGACAGCACAATCGATGCGCATCAAATGATGCAAGCATCATTCAATTGCTCGCATAAATGTATGTCTTTCTGAACGCTTGGTTTTTGTATTGCCATATTTATTCTTACGGACACATATATAACAAACTAATTTAATATGTTATGTACGGTGAATATCTCATCCAAATGCATGCACATTACGTACATTGATTACTTCAATTTTGGTAATTGGATTTTATTTTCCATTTCAACAAGGACTTCAATAAAAAGTCAATTAAATTTCATGTTTGGCATTGACAGTAAGTGGTCTGAAATTCTAATTTGTGTCCACTTGAGTATTTCATAATAATTTACCGTTATTGAAGGAGTTATTCAGATTTTCGGGTATCTGATTGTCCGACCATGCATAAGTATGCCTTATATACGTTGTTTCATTGTTCGTTTGTATTGATGCAAAGTATCGAAAAATTTAAGAAGAGAATAAACTTCATTTGAAATGGCATCAAAAACCCACAATTTATATCATTAAAATTAATACGTGACCGTATTTACAAAGAAACCGCACATGCGTTCGCATGAAAATGCCAAAAAAAGAAAGATCGAAATTGCGAGAAAGAAAAATATCGATGCATGATTGTAATCGTTCGGACACAGAAACGTTTCAAATTTGAGTTCGATTATTGCAATACGATATCGAAACCGGCATTCGGTTGGAATGCCATCAGGAAACGCAAAGGATTATAAACGCATAACACAACTTATACATATTTACTGTATCATACATATGCTATAGCATCGAAGATGGAGTACAGTAAAAAAACGGATTGAAAAATTGAAGAAACGGTTATGGTACGGTGGCCGTTAGAATCGTGCTAAGTTGAGAAATCGCACATTAATTATAAACTTGAAAGTTCTACATATAAAAACAAATTTAAAAAAAGAATTTCATGCCTCGGTCCGACAAACGAAATAATCAATCTGTTGAATGGTTTTTGTTGGTTCATCGTACGCACATATTTGCATCTCTTCTCACTTTTCGCAACGATAATAATTTAAACGAAACTCGCATAATGAGCGAACACTTTGGCTGGAAACACTTTAACATATATTGCATTTTTTTTGGCAAATGGCAATGTGCACAGAATCGTCAATAACTGAGAAATGAACCGAAGAGAGTTCGAAGTGTTTCAAATGCAATCAAATATCAAAAAAATGAGTCAAATAAACTGTGGTGAAATTAAACGAATTATCAAGAATACATTTCGGGTTCTATGTGCGTGTTTGTTTGTGTAATTGTGTTATATATCGATGTGGTGTGGAATAATTAAGGAACCGGCTTTAAAGAAAGATGCAAAATTAAATCAAAGACCAAATTGTATGTTATTAAAGTGCAAGAACTCGCCGTCCGAAAATTACGCAATACATATGGTATGCATAAGTGTGCAGAAAAAGTGAAACACGCAATAAAACTTTGTATTCGTGGTTCTCTCTGTCTATTTTTGTTTTTCTACTCTTCAAATTCTTGTCTTATCAGAATTCTTTAATTTTTGATGGCGAATGGCTATTTTTGGCTTGTGTCGTTTTTTATGCAGTTTCTTTCCACTTTTTTTTGGTTGGGCTCAAGAGCGCGTGATTATATCACATCAATTGTGCATTGTTTGTGCCACAGGCACATGAGAAAATAAACGCGACCTACGAATCCAGCTTCACAGTGAACACCTCGGACAATGTATACATTCTTGTTTATCATGTGTTTGAATTTCGGTTGACGATGCTGTTCTTTTAGGTTCTTGTTGTGGCATGCTATCAAACTCACTTGGATGCAATGCGATGCGAAATATGTGCACACAAACAATCGGCACTGATTACGTTTTCAATGCATTTTAATAATTCGCCTTTTTTCTACTTTGGGAGTGAAATCGATTGTGTAAAAAGTCAAGTAACAGCAAAACTGAAATGAACGACGAGCTCAATGCACACACAGAGACATACACACACACATTCAAATCAAGCATCTGAGTGTAATTGTGTGTTGGTGTAAGAAGCACGAAGCGCGTGTTTTAATTTACGAACTGTAAAGATACGTAGTCAAATTGCGATTGCCTGATATTTTTCATCGGTCGAAACCGATTGAAAAAGACCCATTGCTCATTTTATTTTCTCTTTTCATAGTGCCTATTTCGCAGTCGAACGGACTGTACAACAAAGGAACAATGCAACGAACATTGAGGGAAACGAGAATGAAACTTCCAAAACAAAACGAACATAAAATCTGTTAGATATCTCATTGATTTATTTCACAGCATGCAGTGATTTATGTTCATTATGAAAGTAAATGCTCTACACATGGTAACAACGTTGTGATCGGTCTTGTTTTTTTTTCTCAAGTCATCCACGAAAACGACACAACACCAAAAAAAATATCGTGTGTATTTAAGTTGTTCGCATCATCTCCAGCTTTGCGCGCTCTACCGCATTTTATTTGGTGATTGTTCTTTTACTTTTCATTCTGTTCTTACCATTAAATAAAATCACCTGATTCAATTTCACTTGTTTTTAGTTCAATGCCACTTAATTTTTACGCACTGTAAACAATAAATATTTGTTCAGGCGAGGTCATCGACTTTCAACAGCCAAATCTGCCCCATCAACGTGATGAAAAAAAATGATAAAATCTAAATAAGAGAGTCTCTTGAAGAGACACTTCCATTTCTATTAAAATTCTAATTTTTATCTCATGTGATTTTTTTAGTTGAAATTTTAGAAATTCATTAAATATTTTATTAATTGATTCATTTTATCGATTTAAAATGTCATTTTGTGAAAACATGCAAATGTCAATCACTGAAAACATTTTGTTGACTTAACTAATATAATACTTTCGACTTTTTTTATATGCATGTCATGTTGAAACCAATGAAAATTTCAAACTGTGCGAAAAAATCAATAGAGCGAAATACATTTCACCAAGTCAATGAAAGGTTTTTTGTGTTAATATGTAACAAAAGAATAGCTCATTTATTGTATTAACATTTCTCCTTTCTTTTCAAATACCGGAAAATGGTCCTATGTCCACATATCATTCAAAACAAAGTACAATTTAAAAAAAAATGGCACTCCAATACCGTTTGTGTAAATATTTTATGTTTTTGAAATGCGATGTGTAACCTATTGATTAATTTTGATTTAGAATCTACAGAGAAAAGCGCCAAAAACTAAATTGAAATCTTGAAAAATGTTAAATTATTATTGTGATACATAATTTTGCGAGATGGCACATTGATGTACACCATTTCGTTTCAATAAATCAAGTATTATGATCATCAATGGATTGTGTGAAAATGTATTAATGAAGGTGTGCAATTCATGAAAATATTCTCACGATATCACCGTTGTGGAATTGATTTATCAAATAAATATTTTTCAAAACAACCATCAACCGTTTTTAACACAAAAAAAGACTCTTGATTGTAGATCGATGTACACGTGCCGCCAAAGACGCCCACCTTAACACTCCAGCTATATTGTTTGTCGATTGAAAAACGTATATTAATAAACAATAGGCGATGAGTAAATAAATGTAGCCTTTTGACCTACGGGTGTTTGCATCTACACTGCTACTTTTGCTGCTCACTGACTTTAAGCAAATTGGTATTCGGATTGCAAAGAATATTGTTTACGACATCCTCTTTGAATCGATTTTTTTTATAAATTTTATTTTTTCAAGTTATGAAAATGATAGGGAACGATAAATTAGGAGTGGGGAAATAATTTAGTAAAATTAGTGGGGGGAGTACACAACATATCCAAAACCTCATTGGATCAAAAAGTGATGTAAGGCAAAGCTGTTCAGAATGACGAGAGAAATTTTTTAGGATAGCTGCCAACTTCAAAGTACGAATCATGGACCCGATAACTTCGACCGATTAATATCCACAGTGTGGGTA